GGAGTGTAGGAGTGTCGAACACAGAAGAATTATGGCCAATTAAAACGGTGTGACAATGCGTACTGCTGGAAAGGAAAGTGGTAAAAGATTGAAGACATTCGCTCAGGAGTGTACTGGAACATTCTCTTTGAGCAAAGTTCTCTCACCATTCACAGTTTTGACAGTGACTTGTTTACACGAGAAGCGTAGCTGCTGATATTGCATGTAGGTAGCACCTATTTAGTGTTCCGGAAACCAGCCACGATATGGGAAAATAGCTCCGACGATCGCGATCGTGTTTGCGGCCGGATTCACGCGTATTTTGGTCACTTGAGAGTGTTGTAGCTTTCCGTTTTTGAAACACACTACTAATAAAGTTAGAGGAAAGTGTAGGCAGCCTACCTATAAGCGTAAAACACAGTGTACTAGGCAGATGAAAAAATAATTTTGTCCTAAGCGCGGCGGCCATGTTTATTTGTTTGTTTGTTTTTTTTTTTTGCAACTTTTTAAACGTCCCGGGTTAATTCCCAGTCTGCGCGCGCCAAAGAAACTATATCCAGCCTCCTTAACGGGCTTCTGTTCCTCGATTTCCTTATTCTATCAGAAGGTTAAGAAATTTTGATCGGAATGTGGCCGCCAAAACAGCAGAAGAAAGTCGTTGGTGAGACAGTACTCAGGAAAACGTTGAAAGGTTCCCAGCAATGCTATCCTTTTAAAAATCTGACCACCGGTAGGCCATAGGGTAGGCCACAAGGTAGGCCAGGTTTTGTCCACACCCAAAGATATTGTACATGACTAACATACCAACAGGGCCATACATATTCCCAATGAGCCCATTTGGGAGTGCAACAGACTGGAATTTTTAACGAGTGTACCCGCTTGTGACCATTGTACACAATTCTTTGTTGCGATCGGTCTCGCTGTCCCATTTATGAACCCAAAACAGTTTTCTTGTGGGGCGCCTTTTTCATGTATGACATCAGCATACTCTTGTAACAAATGAGAATTTAAAACATTGTCATTCCATTGAGAGATTCTGTGGCCGTGATTGTTGAAAATGTTGTCCATGACTTCGTTAGTAATCATGCACAACTCTGGAACTGGCCTTCCAAATCGGCTGATCATATCTGAATAACGGCAAAGATAAGAAAACCTCATTAAAATGCATAAATCACATGTGCACGCAAAAACGGTACGACAACACAAACTTGAACACGCGTACTTGTAATTATGAACAGGACTTTACAATCTTGAACGAACGTTGTACGGTTTCGAAAACTAAAGGAAAACAAAGGAAATTACA